AAAACGGAACGACTTCTCGTAGGGTGGCGGCTTCGCCGCCACCAAAAAATTTTAACCCATACCTGGCTACGCCTACCGGCATAGACTCCAACGGCCTGAGCACAGCTCAAATTGAAATAAAAAGTCTCACATAACACATTATATTTTTACTTATAACTTATTTTCTTCTCATTCGAACAGAAATCTTAAACTTGGAAATTATCAGTGATAAAAATCAACAATATAGTATGGCAACGTTGCAAACTCGAGGACCTTATGTGTCAAGAACTGACAATTTCATGAATTACTTTATTTTAGGTTTTATGCAAAGAGGTTAGAAAGGGTAGAGGTAACATAGGAAGCATTTGTCGCTGCGCAAATTTTGCCAAAACCGAAAAACTGGGTGGAAGGAGTAGGGAGACGTTCTGGGCCGGACTTAAATATTTGTATTGTAGTACCTAATTTTGGTGGGTAACTAAAAGATGAAAAATTATGAGACGTTTTTTTGACTTTATTTGTTAGCACGATTCATGTATGATGAGGGCAATAACACTTATCAATACATAAAGGGCCGATTCCACCGTTGTTTCAAACGAAGTTTAAATTATTAAACGAAGATTAAAATGACATTGTTAATGTAAAAATGTCATTTTAAACTCCATTTAGTAATTTAAACTTCGTTTTTGTTAATATAAAAATGTCATTTTAATCTTCGTTTAGTATTTTAAACTTCGTTTAATAAAACGGTGAAATCGACCCTAAATAAAAGATTATAAAATTATTGCAACAAAATAGCTGTTGAGACAATAAGTTATCGAAACAGCCAAAGTACTTTTTGCTCGAATTACACACAAGATTTTTTGTACGATCACACCAAAATAAAATAAATAATTAATTTATTAGAAATGGGTTACCTTTTCGTTCGTTATATTTTAAGTTTATTTGACAGGCCTACTTTTCGAAGAGAAAAAAATGTTTTGTTACTTATATGCCGGTAATTATTTATGATTTAATTATTTACCGAAAATACCGTTCATTGAATTAAAATATTAGGAAGTCAATTAATAGTTATTTATGTAAACAGTTACGAAATGCCTTATTTTGTGTAACGAGTAAATATTTGCGGAACGAGCGGAGCGAGGTCCCGAAAAATGAACGAGTTACACAAAATGGCATTTCGTAACGTATTTACATACAAGATTTTTTCTAGTTTTGACTTGACTATTTATAAAATTGTGTTGAAAAATGACTCACCATAATTCTTCTGTAGGTACTTCCAATCAAATAGTTTAGAAAATTGTTGTATTTGATTGCCCTACGACGTTTTTTTTTTTCAATAGTAATAATAAAAATAAGGGACATGTGCAGTGTTGCCGATCTAATTTTTGACATTACCAGCGAGAAATTTGAAAAAAAACATTTTTACCCTTTATCCTTAGGAGTACGTCAAAATTCTACCCCCAACATTTCTGGGCCGTTTTCAATAACGGTGTTATTTTAAAAATAAAACGCAATTTACAGCTTTTCTTTTTGTTGTTAAATGTAATATCATATTTTCAAATGTGAAATGTCACTATTCATTGCCTTTTTTTCGATATTTGGTTTTTTCGATATTTCGTTTTTTGGATATTTGGATTTTTCGATTTTTAGATTACTCGATTTCTCGATTTTTCGATTTCACGATTTTTCGATTTTTCAACTTAAAAACCAAAAAAGAGGCAGTTTTATTTATTTTCATTTCGTAACTGGTGACATAATCAACTTTTCGTAATCAGTTGCGTAATGTTCTACTTTATGCAACTGATTGCATAAAGTAGATCGTTTTGACACTTGCTGCGATTACAAAATATATTACTTTATATGTCAAAAATGCAGAATGTAAATTAAATGGATAGATCCCATATTATTATAGAGCAGTGTTTCTCAAACTTTTTTGGCGACGGTACCTTTTTGAAAAGCGAAATATTTAACGCAGTCCTAAACACTTAAAACACATAATTTAAAAAATGTATTTCAAATATTTCTTTATTTTGACTCTCATTTTGACTTTCAATAGGTAAACATGATAAAAAATCGGCTTTATATTATGCTCCGATTTCATATATTCAATTTGATAATTGTAATTTGACAATATTACTGCCCATCTACGTAGTCTGTTGGCTGAAAATTGGGGTATACATTTAGCTGGGTTAAAAATAGTTACCAGAGGTAAGTTATCTATAACTAGGATAAAGAAATGTCCATATAAATATTCATTAAATTTATTTAAGCCAAAAATTATTGCAAGGACCTATTTTTCAATTTGGGAATATTTTTGTTCGGACTTTGATAAGGTACGCGAAGCAGAAGCTATAGATTTCTCAATATTTTTTTCAAAAACATGACATATCATGGCCCTTATTCCCACATTTGATACATCTACGAATAATTTAATCGGCAACTCAGGCTGAAAATTCACAAGATCATCATTTGTTGTTAATTTATTTTTGATTTATTCAAAAGATTCCTTGCAAGAATTATCCCAAATCCATTTCACCCATGAAAAATAAAATTAAAAAAAGTCCTAAAGCAAAATCATATCCTCCTTCCTCTTAGTGACTCCATTTTGTGGCGATAGAACTGTTTTTTTTTTATTGTGATTATTTTCTTCGCGAAGCCCTCACACTTTCAGTAACACTGTTATAGAGAATTACTAAATAAATAGTTTTGAGAAAACTATTGAAACCAGTTGTCAAGTTTGAAACGAATAAATTGGCAATGAAATTGATATTTTTGTATTTGATTGTATGTTTCTCTTTTCACTTCCTAAAAAAAGATTCCCCATGAAACAAGAAATAATAAACAGTTTATAATAATAACCTTTATTTGCTACTTATAACATGTACCAATGACCAAGTCCGATTCTGTTAATTTTCAAATCAACAAATATGGACGTCGACAGAATCCTTAAAAATTAAATATCTCACCGAAATAAATGTAAGTTTCATTTATCTCCGTCACATTTCGCAGGTTTATTATAAATAAAGCTTTTTACAACACATCTTGGCATTTTAGTCACTAAAATACCAAATTAATTCTCGTTGACACATTAAATTTGGATGGACAACGCTCTGACATGTGATGTTCTCAACTGCGATTGGTGGGTGTGAATAATTTCGAAATGGGATTATGCGCAGTATCTTATGTTCCATCTAAGGTTTGTATCATAGATAAATTAATATAATTATTTATTAGTTTATCTATGGTTTGTATAATCTAAGGTTTTATGGAAGGAAGTGATGAAAAGTTAGGTTAAATCAGTCAAAATATTGCATTTTATTATAATATAAATAAAAATAGCAAATGAAACGTATTCTTCTATATTTAATTTCAGTTAAAATATTATAAAATGTAAGTTACTTCAATATATTAATGCTATAATTATGAAATTCGCACCTCAGGATCCTTTACTAGAACCAAATAGTCAGTGTAATATTTGGAGAAGATAATTGAAATCAAATATCAAGTGCAGTGGAAAAGTGAAAAGATTGAGCCCATATAAAACGAAGAAAAGAAGAAATACATTCAAGCCCAAGCCAAAAATTTGTATGGCCCAAGCTCATTGTGGATTATTGATTATTTTATTGCATACAGGATTATAGCCACCAAAAGCGACTTTGGGCTATTTTGAGCATTTGTGTCTCTTTCTACTTAAATAATATGGAACAAAAACCAGAGAGGGAAGAATAGTTTGTGTTACTGATGTAGCACGTTCCTGGAATACAGGTAATAAATGAATATTTGTTTATATACATAGAACATTAATATCCTGTTTCTTCTAATAATTAAATTAATTTAAAAGTAAACATCTTAATATAAGATTTAATTCAGATATTCGTCAAGTATCATTTTTTTTTGTTTTTATGGAGATTTTGAGAACTAATAATATCAAAAACTCCCTATTAGATAGCCATTTTGAGTGAAGTTAAAGTAAAATTGTTAAAGTAGGCGTAAGAAATTAATTTTTTGTTTTGTTTTATAGATAACTGCGTTCTGTCGGTTTTTACTAACTTTTGCAAAGTGCGCATGTAATTTTCTGTGACTAGATGCTCTTAACTAAATTTCTTTTTAGGAGTTATACAAAGGCAACTATAAATCAAAGAGAAAAATCAATCCAGTTATGCCTAAAGAGGAGTGATCGAATGCGCTACAAAGAAAATAACTCTTAGTGACCTGTGATTAATAGATGTTTTATCAATAAATATTTTAATTCTATTTTTTGCATTATTTATAATCTGCAAGGTTGTTCTACTTTTTAATAACCAAGATATCCGACGTCCTACGTTCATAAGACATCTTAAAGACGTCTTATTTATGGCTTCACAAGACCATTATAAGCTATTAATAAGTCGTCTTATTTATGGCTTATTTAAAGCTTCACAAGACCATTATAAGCTATTAATAAGTCGTCTTATTTAAGGCTTTACAAAACCTTAATAAGTCGTCTTAATTATGGCTTATTTTAAGCTCTACAGACCAATATAAGCTATTAATAAGACGTCGCTTTTTGTTACATAAGACGTCTTTCAGGAAATACAAGACGTCTCGAATGTCTTATGCTAGACATCTTTAAGACGACTTTGTGCTATATGGGTGGCTCTCGGCGGCCCTGGACGTAACACGATGAAACGTACATACTAGATGGGATTGGCCAAGTGTAATTCACTCCTGCTAAATAGCTGGTGGAGAAAATATTCACCAGTGGACACTTCCCTTACCTATGGTGGACACCACATCCCTGACAGGAAAGTATAGTGTGTTTTACACCGGGCCTAGTGTCCGGTGGTGTAGTTCATTCCTACACCAGTGGGACGAAGGAAAGAACTAATATATGAAAATAATGTCTAAAAAAGTAAGCCACAGTAAAACAAAAGTCAATTCTTTAATATTAAGTAAGTTGAGGCAAGTTATATATAAGATGTACGAAGGTGCGTTACATGTGCGTAACATGTAACAATGAAATTGTTACATAAACGGAAGAAATGCCTAATGTGAAATGTTCTACTGGTCAATTAATACATGGATTTGAAAAATTGGCTTTCGCTTTAAAAGAAGTAACAACAGACAGTTTTTATTGGAACGAACGCATTGAGTCAATTAAAAAAATGTTTTGAAAACCTGTAACAAGGAGATAGAGCTGGAGCTGGGTAACTTAAAGCCTGTATTTATGGATGAGACGTGGGTATATATAGCAAGAAAAGTGACAGAAAAAGTTGGCAAGATGGAATGATGGCTGCTGCAAGTAAAAAAAAAGGAGATGAAATTCGAAATTGTCCGTGGTGGCAATGAAGAATGGTTTATAAAAAATGGAGACATCAATGGGACAATTATGTAAGACACACTAAAAACATAATTCAGAGTCCAGTTGTGAAGAGAATGATATTGATTATAAAATTTAAATGTGTTATCCAATAAATATTTTCTGTGCCCCTTATTGTTATAATATATTTTTTTAACAAAGAATCTGTTTCACGAATTTGCGCCTGTTTTGGATTATCTTTAAAAACTCTAAAACCCTCTAAAAACCAATGTTCAGCTGGGAAATTTATTTATAAAGTACGAAAGTAAATTGTTCTAGTATTTGTAGACAAAATCTTAATTGTTTCAAAGGGACTTCTTGTATTCTTATAAATGCATTTTAATAAAGTTTACGCTGCTAAGCAACAACAAACGCAAATGAAATAAGAAGACAGGTGCAATAAACAGTAACTAAAAATGCGATATTCTTTTGTCAGAGGACTTGAGGTATTTCTATCACTTTATCAGCCCTGACGAGTAGTGCCTAACAACACAACAGCAATAATATGTAATTTTAATAATTATGTAATTTTTTTATTATTGTGATATATTGAGTTTACGATTTTTAACTAAACAGAATAAAGGAACTTACATCTAAATTTGATATTTGGTTCAAAAAGATAAAGGGCAAATTTAAATGGGCAGGCTTATAGGTCCAAATATATTTACATAAATTGTTTCAACATCTCGATACCTATTTATTTATTCTTTCTCATCATCTTTCTTTCAAAATCAAATAGTTTCTTTTATGCTGAGTTTGCCCATAGGGCTTCAGTCCTGATAAGGTAGGAACCACCAATTTAGCCTTACTTGAATTTAGGTTTTATTTTTATGTAAGTAGCCAATATGAATATGACATTATCCAGTAATAAGTACATTGCTATTATGTTTAAAACAACAACATATTATAAATAACATTTATTCAAGAATTTACAATAACTGCATGCCTTAATTTAATAATACAACACAATGTATAAACCTCAGTATAAAATTACAAATAACCAACAAATAAATAAATATGAACAAATAAATTATGCGATAATCTAAGACCCTTACTTATTGAAGTACAGAACTTTGATTATTAGAAATATTCTTAAATATATATTTAATTTTATCTCCCATATGAGTAGTAATATGCCTCTCCATATTTGCTTTTTGAACGAATCTTTTTGAACAAAATGGACAGATATGTTTTTTATCCCCCGTATGTATAGCTAAGTGTCTATTAAGCTTAGATACTAAGGCAAAAGCCTTTGAACAGTAATGGCAAATAAAATTCTTTTTACCACTATGCAAAATCAAATGTTGAGACAAATTAGAATTACATGCAAACCCTTTAAAACAAATGTGACATTTAAAGTTTTTATTTCCAGTATGTACTGGTAAATGTGCCTCTAAGTAACTAGGCCTTGCAAATGCCTTGGAACAATAAATACAAATATATTCCTTATTATGTACTTTCATATGAAACTTTAGAGTTGTATTGGTGGCAAATGATTTATGACATAAAGAACAAACAAACTTTCTGTCACCTGTATGTTGAGTAAGATGCTGTTTTAAATTAGTAGTATTGGCAAATTCTTTCGTACATATTTCACAAACACATTTTTTCTCTCCTGAATGTATTTTTAAATGAATTTTTAACATAGAATTATGCACAAAATTTTTGTTACATTGTGGACATTTAAAATTCCTTTCCTTGGTATGTAATTTAGCGTGAATCTTTAAATATGCATTAGTTAAAAAACTCTTAGAGCACTTATTACATTTAAATCTCCTTTCACCAGTATGAATTGTTAAGTGATCTTTGAGAGTTTCTTTTCGTGCAAATGGTTTTGTACAAATTGGACACTTGAATTTTTTCTCTCCTGTATGTATAGGTAGATGCCTTTGAAGTTTGGAATTTATCCTAAAACCCTTTGGACAAAAAGGACATTTAAACCTTAGCTCTTTTTCATTAATTTCAGAACAATCAATTATTTTTCTTATTCCAACTTTGTTTTCTGGCGTTTGACTGTTTCTTGTTGGAACATCGTCTTCGGACTCTTCCTTTATTTTTGTTTCCTCTATGTAGATTTGTTCAAACATCTCTATTTTGTAAAATATTTTTTCATTTTTTTATTGTTTTAACAAAAATAGGTTAAATTAAAGGCAGTGGCTCCATGTCCGATATTGGATACACAGCAGCGCTACAACACAACGTTCTCGACGTCCGTAAATCATCAAATTCTGTATGTCCTTCGGAGTTCGGCGTCGACGTACTGCCGCCTTCTTTTTAAATTCCTTAAGGCCGCAGCAAGTCGCAGTTTCACCCGAGAATAACGATCAAGGAGAAGCGACAGCTTGGTGTTTTTAGGGTACCGTTTTGTAACGCGCATGTGCGAAAATAAGTTGTGTATCACTCAAAATGATGTTATCTGTCAAAGTCAGTCCAAGTTGTGTTTAGTACGTGAGCAATGTTAAATGATATTTTTTGGTGTTTGTTTTGTGTAGTAATAAGATGAAGATTTTTACACACTTAGGTATTCTAATGCAGATATAAAATGTGCCAAAAAAGTTATTAGGAAACTAAGAATTTTATTGCATGCATAAATATAAAGTATAATGATTTAAATCATTTTTGACATTTTATTTTTCATATGTAGGTATTGTATTTTGTGAAATATATGTTTTCTTCTTTTAAATAAATTTAATAAAAAATGAACCTAACCTAACTGGAGATTTTGTTTATTTTATTTGAAAATTATATTTAAAAAAATACAGTAAATCCGGGTGTTTCAATTAGGATTGATCAAAATAGGCGAAATCCCTTTATTATGGCTAAATTGTAAGGTACAATTATGTCAATATAAAGATGTTTTGCCCATTCATATTTACATTTATTGAATGAATCATACTGGAGTTGATTTTGGAAATATTGGTGAATACTTAAATAAGTACTATTTCAAAATATTCGTCTATGCCCAGACAACACACATAGTCCAATGTACGTCCACTTTAGATCTATTTGAGGGTCAGGACGTCCATATCCGGGCATCCAGTGTACGTCCGTTTATGCTAATTAAATTGACAGCTGAATATCGATACCCAGAGAACGTCTGTTTTTGGACTTAATTTTAAGTTTATTAGTATTTTGACGTCCAGAGGACGTCCATCTTAGGTCATTATTTATTAAGCCTACCAGATAATACTCATCTATAATATATATTTCTTTTTTTAATATAACTGGTCATTAAAAATTGACAAATTGAATCTATTGCATTTCATTCTATCAGCGGAAGTTTGAAATCTTATTCAATTATAACTGTATCTAGTAAAAAGTTTTCAAGTGGTTCCTTGGTCGAGCTCGTCTAGCAATTGAAAGCGTAAAACGATAATGGATGTGTCGTGAGTTCGATTCGTGCTCAGGTCAAGCAATTTTTAATAAAAAAAAATAAATAGTGTATAGCGGTTTGCGAAAATAATAAACAAATTATTAATAATAAAAAATAGTGTGTGGTAAGTTGCGGTTCTGTAAAAAAAGTGGGGATGTGGTCTCAATGGAAATATAATCCTGGACGTTTTTTGAATGTTTAGTATTCGACGTCCAAATATATTCCAGAATTGAACGTCCTCTGAATGGTCAAAAGTGTGCCATTTGTATACTTCACTGGACGTCCATTGGATGTCGGAAGTCCAGAAAAAACTCATTTTTGGACGTCTAGACATCCAAAATTGTATATCGAATAGACGTCCAATGGACATATTTGTATTGTCTGGGTGATAGCCAGACCAGGTATTTAACTCTAAATACATAAACCTTAAATGACATCTGGCTTAACTTGGCGAAAAAACACTTGTTTATACAGAAATGAGTAATAAACTTGAAAGTCCTTTTAATATAATATAAATCTAAAAATATGTAAGTACTTTTTAAACCTAAAAGTTTTGAAAATATTTAGTTAAGTCTCTCAAACTTAATGTCTTTTTAATTGTTACCTAAATTTTTGTGGCACCCTTAATTTTATTTACCTTATTTTTACTTAAGGAAAAGGTAATTTAATTTAAAAATGGGGCTTTTATTACATTTTTAACAATAAATAAACCAAATATTGAACAAATTTTATAGATAAATTATGAAATAATAAACGTCTTTTACTTTTATAACAAATAATTACTATTAACCCTAACTACTTCAATGTAATTAAATCACATTACATTTGCGCATGGACTATAACAATGGTTTCAGATAATTTGCCAAACTATTTCGCTCAGTGTAGAAAATGAGCATGTTTTCTCAGCGTGCTAAGTTGTGTATCAATCAAAGTCATGCTGTGAAAAAGGTACATCCGATATCAAAGGCACCGACAGCTACTGTCGCTTCTCCTTGATCGTTATTCTCGGGTTTCACTGTATTTTTCCTATAAGAAGCAAGGCCGCAGTGGCGGTTTGCACGTGTAGTATCTATAAAATATATATCTATGAATCTTTCATCTATATGATCATGAATGTATCATCTAGCTTAACATGATGGTCCATGATCAGAGAGTTGACAGAACGAAGTAAAAATGGATGCAAGTTGTTTTTGAGAATAAACGTTACAACAGAGATAAAGGCTTTTGAGTTCATCCACAAACACCTCGTTAGTTGTTTATCGAAACAAACAAATATTACAGCACGTAAGGGCACTTAGGCACGTGCCCTAGTATAATAATAATTAAAAAAAATAACTTACATATTTTATATTTTCCTCAATGCCTATTATCATTTTATCTAATATTCAGCGCAAACCGCGTTGGCACGACACTGGACGAC